CCCCCCCCCCCATTATTATACTGTAAACTCCTAAGTGGAGGACTGAGTGATGGTGATTTTGTTCTTACTAGAATTCTTCCATGTGACCACTGGGAAAGTGTTCTGTGCTCAGAAGAAACTGAGTGACTATCGTCAGCAAACAGAGGTAATAAATAGTAGCAAACAACTACCTAGAATCCTGATAAAAGTTCTCTAGGACTGCTACAGGCTTAGTAAATTCCTGTTGCTAACTTGAAATCTGGTACCCCAAAAGAGGAAAGCCATAGCTTTTCACTCTGCTCAGTGCTCACCCAACTAGGAAGTGAATATACGGTCAGGAATGTCTCCAGATGCCATAGACCACCTCAAACTATACAGTCTAGGGGCAAAATCTAGTTATTCATACCCTAGCAGTGAATCATGCCAATGTGCAGAACCTGACCATGTCGTATGGAGCCTGATGAGGATTTCATGCCAACTAAAGGCAAAGGTTTTATCCTGTAGCAGCACATAATCTTTAACACAAAACAATGATAATGAAAAAGACTAGCCAAACTAGGGATCGAGAGATTTGTAGTCTACCCCCAGCTCTGCCAGGAATTTGTGATATTCTGCATCCGAGAGTTTCCCTACCAGTGAAAGGGGTGGGGGTGGGGGGGTGAGATAGATGGTCAATAAGACCTCATCCAGACCCAAATTTCTGTGAGTTTATTTTTGCACCAATGTCAATACAGAAACAAGGAGATGGAAAATCAACTCTACTATTAAACCAGAAATAGTATAAGTCATTGAAATGATTCATTTTCATTAACACACAAGAGTCAATTCAGCAAACAATAAATGAGCAGGGCTTTTTTCCAAATGCCTCATAATATCAAGAAAAAGCACAGTGCCACCTTTAGCCAGTATGTTGTTGTTACACCTTCAGTGATCTCACTAAAAGAATTTAGATTCAAGTATTAAAAGGCAGACAATAGCAATTCCTCACTCTAGAGAGAAAAACAAAAAAATGTCACTAGATCCCTAGATGCCATGCTGTGGTTTCTCATTATCATGATTAGTTATCACACTCCAAGAAATCCAGGGGTATTATAAAAATTATACTCCACCTGACTTCAAAAGAAAACAAATTTTACAAGAACCACAACTGATATTTAAAGGCCTAGGCAAACACTGGAGAAAAATCTGGATAGTAAAAAGCACTAGGGAAAGGTACCTTTGGTCACGAAGCCAGTTGAAAGTCATTCTCCAAGAGCTTTAGATATGCCAAAGTGATGTAGTCCTCAGTAGCCTTTTGTCACACTTCAAAAGTTCTCTCTCTTTTTAAATAAGCCGGTGGTAATTCCGTTATATTTGTTAAAGTCCACGTTATCACTATGCAGCCAATTATAAAAGTCCCCAGGAATAACTGTGATTGCTTCAAAAGTAAAGTATTTCCTGACTCTGCAATCAGGAAACACACTGATTGTTCAGGACTAAAGAGCAGAAGCTTTAGCTTTCTTTAAAAAGAAACATTTTAAATTTGACAACTATTGTCTTTCTTAAGCTGCTTAAATAATCATAAGTGTCTAAGGCTTATTAATTATGAAGACAAGAGAAGATTATAGTACAATGTCTTTTTTACACAAAAAAATGGTGAACAGATGAACCTCAGTAAGCACTTAAAATGGATATAAATATGAGTATGAGAATAAACTTAAACCATAGTTAAAGCAAAAAATAACTAGGCAAATTCTTTTACAATCAATATGAGCTTAACCGCTTGACTCATTATTAATCATTTTATAATACTTATAGTACGCACAGAAAAATTTAGATAACTACAAAAAAGACGGGGGAAAGGATTCTTAAAAGTTGAGGAAATACACTAGGAAACATTTCAAGTAAACTGATAAAGCTGCCTAATGATAAGAACTGAAAATTTAAACTAGTCTCAAAGAGAGACAGTATGGAAAAGAAATATATTTGCTTTGGAAGTAATACATGCCTTTAGGGAGAGGGCAGATTTCCCTCCTAAGTATGTTTTACTCAAACTTTTAAGTGGCACCTGGCTGGCTCAGTCAGAAGAACCTGCAGCTCTTGATCTCAGGGTCATGAGTTCGAGCCCCACAATGGGTATAGAGATTACTTAAATAAATAAAAATTAAAAAAAAAAAAAAAAGATCAGTTTAGCATTTGGAGAAAAGACTGATTTGATCACTTGATGTTATAATTTCTGTTTGGCTTTCAAAAGCTTATCTTCAACCAATGGAAAGTGATAAGACAGCATATATGTGCCATGAAATAGTTCACCTATGCTAAGGAAACACTACCCATTACCTGAAAGTGCAGAAGTTTTTCCAGCCCGAGTGACTTTGGAAGCATAGTCTGTGTTGTCATTTTTAAGGTGAGGCTGTCTGACAATCTCA